CAGAGTCTCACTCTGTTGCCTGGGCTAGAGTGCTGTTGCGTCATCACAGCTCACAGCAACCTCAAACTCCTGGGCTCAAGCGATCCTCCTGCCTCAGCCTTCCGAGTAGCTGGGACTACAGGCGCCACCACACCCAGCTAATTTTTTCTATCTTTAGTTGCCCAGTTATTTTTTTCTATATTTCAGTAGAGATGGGGTCTTGCTCTTGTTCAGGCTGGTCTCAAACTCCTGACCTCAAGCAATCCTCCTGCCTCGGCCTCCCAGCATGCTAGGATTATAGGTATGAGCCACCACGCCCGCCAAAATTGCTTGTTTTAAAATAACTTTTAGGCTGGGCACAGTGGTTCACACCTGTAATCCCAATACTTTGGCCAGGAGTTTGAGACCAGCCTGAGCAGCATAGTAAGACCCCCATCTCTGCAAAAAAAAGGAAAATTTAGCTAGGTGTGGTGGCGCCTGTAGTCCCAGCTGCTCAGGAGGCTGAGGCAGGAGGATCTCTTGAACCCAGGAGTTCAAGGCTGCAGGGAGATATGATGCAGCCACTGCACTCTAGTCCTGACAATAATGAGGTGAGACCCTGTCTCAGAAAATAAAAACTAAAAAGTAACTTTTAAATATTTGATTTTTAAAAGTTTTATTGAAGTGACAGAATAAGTTGCACCTATTTAAAGTGTACAATTTGACAAGTTTTAACATATATTTGTATCTGTGAAACCATCACTACAATCACGAGAGTGAACATCTCCATCACCCGCAAAGTTCCCTCATCTTCCTTTTTAATCCCTCCTTCCTGACCCCCTCAAGCACTTGCTGAGCAGCCTTCTGTCACCATGCCTTAGTTTGCATTTCCCAGATTTCTGTATAAATGGAATTGCACAGAACGTACTCTTTTTTGGTATGGCTTCTTCCACTCGCGTAACTGTTTTCAGAGCCATCACTGTTGTTGGGGTATCAACAGGTGGATCCTTCCGGTTGGCAAGCCGTGTTCCATCGTGTGGGTATCTGATTAGTTTGTTATCCATTCGCTGCTTAATGGATGTCTTAAATTCATTTTGTGTTGCTTTTAACAGAATACCTGAAACTGATACTGAGAAGGAATTTATTCCTTACAGTGATGGACTCTGGGAAGTCCAAAGTCGAGGGGCTGAGTCTGGTGAGCGCTTGCTGGTGGGGACCGCAGAGTGCAAGGTGGCGCAGGGCACCCCGTGGCAGGGATTGAGTGTGCTAACGTGCCAGCTCTGGTCTGTCTTCCTCTTACAGAGCCACCAGATCCCCTCCCCATGACCTATTAATCCGTTACAACACTAATCCATCAACCCATGCGTGGACTAATCCGTTCACGAGGGCAGAGCCCTCAGCATCCAATCTCCTCTTAAAGGTTCCACCTCTCAAAGCTGACACATGGGGTTAAGTTTCACCATGAGTTTTGGAGGGGACATTCAAACCACAGCAACGGGCACGTGGGTTGTTTTCAGTTTTTGGTTATTACTGAAAAAGCTGCTATAGACATTCATGCATGTGTCTTTCTTTGGACGTATGCTTTTATTTCTCTTGGATAAATACCTGTGAGTGGAACGTCTGAATCGTATGGCAGATGTATATCTAACTTTTATGAAATGCCAACCTGTTTCCAAGCGGCTATACCATTTTACATTCTCACCAGCAGCGTTTGAGAGTCCCAGTTACTCATAACCTCACCAACACTTGGTATGGTCAGTCTTTTTAATTTTAGCAATTTTAACAGGGATGTAGTGGTAGCTCATTGTGGTTTTAATTGGCATTCCTACAATGAGCGATGGTGCTGGGAGTCTAGGGACAGACCTGTGTGTAGAATGGCAGAGTCATCGGAGAGGTGTTCTCGGTCCTGTCCCAGTGACCTGTCCATCCCAGCACCAAGCGCCACCTGGTGAATTACTGTTGCTCCACCGTACGTCGCGTACACACCAGGCCTGGCCCGGCCCCACGCAGCAGGGCGCGCCATCCACACTCCCGTCCACGCGGAGCAGCTCGGGCATGGCAGAGAGCACGGCCTGTGTGCTCGCACGTGGAGGTCCTGTCTTTCCACATCGCTTGTTGATTTTTCCAGGTGAACTTAAGTGGCAGTCTGTCAGGTTCTCAAAGCAAACCGAGACACCTGTGTGTGCGCCTGGGCCACATGGGCGAAAACGCGGCACTTAAAGTCCGTGGTGACAGAGTAAATACTCACTAAGTCGCTACCTATTTAGAAAAAGTAAGTTTGAATCCCTTACTCCACTCCTTATCCCCAAACCAATTCCAACTGGATCAAATATTTGAATGTAAGTACATGAAATTTCACAAGTACTAGCACACCGCCTTGGAGACTGCTTTGTTCCGTGTAAAGTTACGCACATGTTCCGAGCCGCCTCCTCTCCCCAGTAATAAAGGGATCTGAGGTCCTCAGCTCCCACCTTCCTTCCCCTGACTTTCATGTTACTATCGTCGTTCCAGTTCTGCTTTCTAAAAACATTCTCGAAAGCATACGCTGGCGTAGTTTCACACAGAGTCGATCCGCTGGGTTCACCCAACAGGACTGCGTATTTCCCGGGTCTAGGTGCTGTGGAAAGAGCCCATGTTTAACCACCACGCTGTCCAAAGTCACGACGTGTCATGGTGCCCAGTGCTGGCGAGTGCGTTAGGCTCCTGTGGCCGCCGTGACAAAGCACCACAATCTGGGGGTTAAAACAACGGGAGTTTATTTCCTCTTAACTCTGAGGTCGGAGCCCAAGATCAGGTGTGGGCAGGGCTGTGCTCCGGCCCGGCTCCAGCTGTTCTTGGACCGAGGCTGCCCCCCCGTTTCCTTAGGCGGCTTCTTCCCTGTGTGTCTCCTCTGCCGCCTCAGAGACACTCGCCGCATCAGGGCCGACCTGGGGAACCCAGGATGGCCCCCTCTCAAGATCCTTGATTACATCCGGAAGACCTTTTCCCACATAAGGCCGAGCTGGGGTCTTGGGCCTTGAGACAGGGACCTTCCTTTCCGGGGTCACCCTGCAGCCCGGCCGCTGGGGAAGGCAGAACTGGCCACAGGCCCCAGGGCCCCGCGCGTGCGCACAGGCGTGCCAGCGTGTCCTCCGGCGCTCGGGACGCCCGCCTGCTTCCGCGGTGGCACACAGCTGTCGCGCGCCCTCTCCTTGCAGGCTTGGTGGACGCGCTGCTGCTGCAGAGCGCGCAGGCGCACCAGATCCTGGCGCACGGGCTCCTGCTGCAGGCCCTGCCCCGCCCCGCCGCGCAGGTAGGCCGAGGGCCCCGCCCCCGCCGAGGACGCGGGAATTTCTGCGGGCGTAACCCCGGACTCCGTGTGTGGCCCGCCGAGAAGCGCCGGCGCCCCCAGCCCCGCCCCGGACGGGGACGGCGCGGCGCAGTTGGGCGGGAAGCTGCCTCCCCTAGGGGCACCGGGACCCCGGGTCGGACCGGCGCGGGGGCGGACTCCCGCAGGGGGCGCCGGGCGGGGCGGGCGGGGCCGTCCTCACGCCCTGCGCCCCGGACCGGCCGCAGTGGGCTCCAGCCGCCGTCCCGCGGGCCGCGAGGCCGAGGCCGCCCGCCGCGCCCCGACAGCACCAGCACCGAAACCGGCACCGGCACCAGCACCGCCGCGCGCGCAACGGCTGCTCCGCGGGGCCCGCCTGAGCGCGTAGGTCCGGGGATCCCAGCCCCGGGGGCGCGGGCGGGGCGCTGGGGAGCCCGAGAGACCCCGCGTCCCCCCAAGGTCGCGGCCTCAGCCCCAGCGCCGCGCGGCGGGGACCCCCGGCCTCCGCTAGGGCCGCGTCCTGCGCATGCCCGCCGGGCAAGGCGGGGTCTTCCATTCGGTCCGCACCCGGCCGGCGGGAGCCGGGAAATGCCTCGCGGTGGGCGGGGCCGGGCTCTGCCCATCTTGTGAAACTCGGGGACTTCATCAAGGGGGAATTTAAGAGAGACGTGGCTCAGGGGCCGTAGTAGAAAAGATCGGTAGCTTTAGCCGCAAAGTGAGACACCCCAGTCCCCATGGGCAGCACCAAAGACAAGGTCAGGTAAGCGGGGGCCTGTCCCCGCTCGCGTAGGAGGACAGCAGGCCGTGCGCGGCTTCCCTGTGTGCGCGTGCGCGTGAGTGTGCGTGCGCGCGCGTGGACAGCACCTGCCCGGCGCGGGTTGGTGCCCGGAGTTCCCTTCCTGGAACTCACCCTCCAGCGGACCAGGGGGAAGGAGCTTCCCTCTCCCCAGTGTGTTCCCTCCGCCCTGTCAGGGTTTCTTATTTTTGTTATTTTTTTTTTTCCGAGGGCTGGGTTTATGTTCCTGTGCTGTTTTACTTTTATTGTTTATAGACAGGGTCTGGCTCTGTTGCCCAGGCGGGAGTCTGGTGGAGCCATCACAGCTCACTGCACCCTCCAACCCCTGGGCTCAAGGGGACCCTCCTGCCTCCAGTCCCAGTGGCTGGGACTACTGGCACACCACCACGCCCTGCTGATTTTTAAAAAAATTCTGTAGAGACGGGGTCTCACTATGTTGCTCAGGCCAGTCTGCAACTCCTGGGCTCAAGTGACCGTCCCACTCTGGCCTTCCAAAGTGCTGGGATCACAGGCATGAACCACTGCTCCCGACCCCTTGCTTTTTAATGTTATTTTTATTTAAATATTGTTTTTAAGTATCATGTGTAAGTTTTCATTCCCTCTCTCTGAGGAGAGATTCTTTCATTCCCTAAGATCCTCAGGAGCAGGCACCTGTTTCTACCTTTGCATCCTTGGAACCTTGCAGGTGGGAGGCAAGATGTTGCCGCTCAGCCGCGCGCAGGCGTCCCCCCCGCGTGCTCCTGCGGGTGGGAACCACTGACTCCACCTGGATGGACAGGTCAGAGCTCTGCCTGAACCCGCGGAGCTGCAGGGCCGACGTCTGCTTCTCACCCATCTTTCTGTGCACTTCGGGATGTGACTCCAGAGACGGCGCTCTTGTTACAAAAGCATGAATTAAAGGTCTGACACCATATCCTATTTTCACACTGACTTTTTTAACATGGCTTTTCTCTTTGGTTCTATTTCTCAACATGATTATTTAGTTGAGGGAAGAAATGTGGCAAGAGTTGATGGTCTTCGGACCGCCTGGTCACTGGCTGGGCAGCCTGGGCCTCAACACTAGGCAGAAGGCTCAAGGTTAAAGAGCTGAGGGCGGGGTGGGCCCAGCAGGGCAGCGCCTCCCGCGGGATCCAGCCCGTGCCCCCCAGCAGGCTGCAGAGGTGGGCCAGACGAGCCTCTTTACCAGAGCCCTGGGATTCCGAGGACAGATCAGTAGACGCCTAGAGAGGAGAATGAGGTTCATATGTTCTCTCAATTCTACAAGTTTTAAAACCATCTCGTGTCCTACACCGAGGAAGGAGTGGGAATTTGTTGTGCGTCAGTGCTCCACTCAGGGGTTTAGCCCCGACCCGGCTGCTGCCTCCGCAGCCCACAGGACAGCGATGGCCAGCTGAGCTCCCAGCCTGGGCCCGTCCCCAGCCCGTCCTCTTGTCCAGAGCGTCGGGCATCAGAAAAGGGCCCTGCTCAGGGGCTGCAGCCTGGTTCCCGCACGTCGGTTCAGCTCGTCCAACGCCAGCTTCTCCTTCCGGTGCATCTGGGGGAGAGGAGGAAGCGCTGGGCCTGGCCCCAGGGAGCAAGCCTGCACCCAACCCTAGGGCCGTCTCCTGGGAAGCACCTCCGCCTGGCGGCGCTGCTCCCGCAGGCGGGACCTGGTTCTGCTCACCTCAGACCAGCACCTGTGCACAGCGCACCAAGCCACGGGCAGGGAGGGCCCCTGGAGAGAAAATCTTTTGTAAAGATTTTCTAAATGTTAAGCTTTTGGACCAAACATTAAGCACTAGTGCTCAGGCCTTCCCTCCAATGGTGAACACACAATACAGCTAAGCGCATCTGGGGAGCTGCGGACATTTAGAACCAACACTTGTGAGTCTTTCACAAAGGGCAAGGCGGAAGCCTGGGTCTTGGCCTTGGGTCCTCAGGTCCAGGGCTGGGCAGAGGCCTGGGGGTGCCCACCCAGGCACACCCCCTCGAGTGGGAAGGTCGTCGGGCTCCTACCTTCTGCCACTCTGCCTCCGTGCTGTGTGTGAAGCCCAGCAGGTGACAGAGTCCGTGGGTGGCAGCCACCTGTCAGAATAGTTAAAACACTGGCTCAGGGGAGGATCTGACAGAAGCCATCCCTCAGGAGCACCCCGGCGTCACGGGCTGCTCTTGGTGAGCGGCAGGACGCAGTGGCCCAAGCTGTCCTGAGTCAGGGACGCTGGGGCAGGACCCTGTGGGACTCAGCCTGTGTCCCCTCCCGTCTAAAATGGGAAAAACCCTCCCACAGAGGGGGCTCGGAGCAGGGAGCTGCCCAGGACCTGCCAGCAGTGCCAGGAGGGGTTCGTGTAGGAAGAATGAAGCAGTCAGCGGGAGAGAGGAACAGGCAGTGGGGCGGTGGGGGCCGGCCTCCCGGAGCTCAGAGGGGAGGGGGCACAGCCTGCACCCCAGGCCCAGCTGGGAAGGGTGGGGGGCGGCAGGAGAGTAGCAGGGGGCAGGGCCCTCGAGCACACCCCGACTTTACTGGACGCTCTGCAGAGGGGTTTGGAGGCAGAGGGGGGCACCAGCTGCTGGCAGGGGAGGACCCACTGGCCATCTCCCCCCACAGGGCAGGGCTCCAGGACAGAGCCCAGAGCGGCAGCGGGGGAGGAGGGAAGGCCTGTGAACCGGCAGGTAAGGGCTGCTCCTCTGGGCAGGTGCCCTGGAGACTGGAGGTGGCCCCAGCCTGCAGGAGGCCACCCCACGTGGGTGGGCTTCAGGGATTGAGAGACCAGGGACTGTCACTGTAGGAAGATCAAGGTCTCCCCTGGGATGGGGTGAAGGGAGGAGGCCGGCCCAGGCGGGATGTGCTGGGGGCTGGTGAGGCCCAGTGGGACAGGGAGGACAAGGAGGGGAAGGCAAGATGGAGGGCGCAGCTGCAAAGCAGCCAGGGTCCTGGGGTGCCGGGCTGGCCCCCCCAGGGTGACGGGAGCCCACAGGAAGGGCTCTGGGCCAGAGGAGGGAACGCCAGGGGCAGACCAGGGAGCCATGCACGTCCCCACTCCCTGCAGAGATCCCAGGGCTGAACCCAGCTGGGCCACCTCCCTTGACAGGACGAGGGAGCCTGGGCTGAGGTCATGCCCTCTCGTGCCGCCCGGCTGGGAAGCTTCAAGTCACACGGGAGCACTGGGGTCCCCAAAGACGAGTCAGGGGCAGCTGTTCAGCCGCAGGAAGGTGCTCAGGTGAATCCGTGGGCGAGGCAGACAGGACTCAGTCACACGGGGCTCTTTATTTTTTGCATCAAGCTGAGGAGAAACATCTGGAAGGTCCTGGAGGCTCTGACCCCACCTTCTGGCAGCTCAGTGAGAAGCGGACCTGGCGGGTCTCAGCAGCACAGCCTGCTCCTCCGCAGGGCTGAGAAGGCTCCCCCGGGCTTCTGTGTTTCCCGCTGTGTCCTCTCCTTCCCCCAGCACTGGCCCGGGGCATGCCGGCCCCGCCCGGCCTGTGTGCCCCCGTTTGCAGGTTCTCCCCAGCAACCCCCTGGAACCTGTGGCCCTAGTGTGGACGCGGGGGTCGTATTCTCAACCTTGCACGGCCCGTGTCTCGTTAGCCAGGAAATGTGATTTTGTGTCCCCACTTACGATCAGGATGTCATTGTAATCTTCACCTTCTTCGCACTGCTGGAAGATGTACTCCACTCCCAGGAAAATGTCTCCCAAATTATAGTCATCTGGAAAAGCAGGCTGTGGAAATTCACCTGCTGTCAGATTCTGAAAACGAGGAAAAACAGACTCAGAGACCACCTCAGGAACAGTGACCCAACTGAAACCACACGTGTGAACGTGGTGTAGGGCCGTGAGCAGCATGGCGGTGGAGTCTGATTTCGGCAGCCGTGCAGGCGCGGCCAAGAGTGAGCCAGCCCCGTCCCTAGCTCACCTCCCTGCACTTGCTTACGGCTTAGGAGTCACGTATCCCTGACCGGCGTAAGATGCGTAACTTCCCTAGTCACTTCTATAAATGACATTGCTATCGTAAAACCTAAGGCTGGTCTTTGAGATACCTTCAGACTGTGCATTTGGAGGGGGACCAGGGGCTGTGCATGGGGACTGACTCAACGGGCCCTGCAACCCGCTGCCCAGAAACTGACTCAGCCCAAGAAGACAACTTCTGCTTCCCAACCTGTGTGTTCATCCCCAGCGCTCTGTCCACCAAACTACCTTTAAAAACCCCGGCCCCCAAATTCCCAGGGAGACAGACTTGAGAAATTCCCCTCGCCTCCTCGCTCGGTGCCCTGTGACGTTAAACCCTTTCTCTGCCGAGACCCCTGCTGTCTCAGTGAGCTGGTGTGGTCTGTGCAGCGGGCAAAGGACCCAGCTGGGTGGTCCCACAACCACAGGCGGACGCGGTTCAAGTTCGCCCTGGAGACTCTGGCTCGCTGGTCCCAGGCACACAAGCACCTGCTCTCTGACCACATCACTGTCAAGCTGCAAGTCCAAGGCCGGGACAGCAGGGTGGGCCCGTGGGGGTGGACTGCACAGCCACCGCACACACGTGACCTAAATGTCTCCACTGTGACGGTTGTCAGAATCAAAACGAGCCACTAGCGCTAAAAAGCCCCTGACAAATAGAGCCGGGAAAGGCTATGAAGAGAGGATTCTCACGCGGACGCGCCTGAGAACGAACTCTCTCAAAGACTCTGCGAAAACCACCAGCTGCACGACGGCCGTCACAGCCTCACACAAACACACTTCCGCGAGGACAAGCCCAGCAGCTGCCGGCGCAATCTCACACTGACACCGACCTCTGCAGTCCAGGATAAGCACCTCTAAACAATTACGCAACCCTTCTCGTTCTTCCTCTAAAAGCCTGCGTCTTCTTTTACCTTCCTGAGCACGCACGTGTTCACTATGGCAGATGTTCTCACTGCAACGCTCCATCTCCAAACAAACGTAATTTCCTCTTAGAGAGCCTCTCTCTGTTTGTTGTTTAGGTCGACAGGATCTTGTCAAATGAGTTACTTTCCATTTCTGTCATCCCTCCTAATACAGAATCTCACAGATCCACAACTTCTACAAGGACACCATTTTATATTTCTGTTCTTTCTGCTTGATATTTTGTCCTAAATAGTCTTTTTACATTTTCCTGCATAAAGACAGTAAAGACCAGTCCGCTTAGTGGAGGGCTATTTACACTAAAGCCAGTTGCCTTTGCCTATGGCTGGATATTTTTGTTCCTATTACAGAGAACAGTAAGTGAATGTTTTAATACATTTTTACATTATGTATTCAGCATTTTAATTTTTTTTTTTTTTTAAGACAGAGTCTCACTCGGTCACCAGGCTAGAGTGCTGTGGTGTTATTAGAGCTCACAGCAACCTCAGAATCCCGAGCTCAACGATCCTCCTGCCTCAGCCTCCTGAGTAGCTGGGACTATAGGCATGCACCACCATGCCCGGCTAATTTTTGTATTTTTTGTAGAGATGGGGTCTCGCTCTAGCTCAGGCTGGTCTCAAACTCTTGAGCTCAAGGGATCCTTCTGGTTTGGCCTCCCAGGATGCTGGGATTACAGGTGGGAGCCACGGCCGCCAGCATTTTATCTCTTCAGTCTTTTATTTTCTCGGTTTCTCGGGCGCGACAGGAGCAGATTAAAGAATATCCTGTTTAAAGGCTCTTGAAGTTTATCGACAAATTGCTTTCCAAAAGGTCTGCTCTAATTGATGCTGCTACTGATGTTGTGAGAAGCCTTGAATAACTGACACAATGTAGACAGTCACCTGAGAGCTGCCACATTGTATCTGCTGAAACTATTCACCCAGGCTGTTCTTTTCAGTGTTAATTTTTCCAATCCAAATTCATTAACGAATCACAAAATTGCAGCAGCACTTCACTTCTCTTTCAATTCACTGATAGCATCATGAGGGGAGAGGTTGGACTCTAGTCAACTTTCCTCTTTCTGTTGGCTCCACCAGCGGAACTGAGGCCCCTGGGCGATTGGGGGCCGCTCCCTGTGGCCTCTGTGATGGCCATCGCTGGGCAGGGGTTTAACGTACTGCTCTACTTTTGTGCATATTTGAAAGTTTTCAAAACTAAAATCGAAAATCATATCTGTGATGTAATTAACCCAGGAAATTTACTCGGGAAGGGAGGCTAGACAAAAAGAGGAACGTATTTTTTACCTCATGAAATGGAAAAGAAAGCACATCGGTTGGGACATTTTTCTCTCTGTAGATTCTATTAAGGTGCTGAATATTCTTGTTGTCAACACAGATGATTGCAAGGTCAAATTTCTGCACTCCTAAAATACTCCTTACGATCTCGACCTTCTTGCGAAGGGGCGCTCTCCTGATGGGGATGACTCGCTGCAGATTTCTAATCACCAAACTCATGTCAGGAA